GCTCGATCTCTATAAAGGTACATATAAAATATATTGGTGTCACATACGTTCGACCTGATTGGTTCCATTGGTTATTAGCTGCTATTTGTGTTGTCAATGTTTATGGCCATTTTATTAGCGAAGCGGTTTTATTGCAGATTCAATTGTTATAGCAACGGATTTGATTAAGTTAAGCAATCGTGCGTTTTGTTTGCTACTAAATGGACACATTTTACTATCTAGATGTGTTTTGCTGTATGATATTTGTTTAGTTGATTTGATTTTGAAATGCACATCGCCATAATATTTTATGGTGGCCAACCTACGGGGGAATAAATACATGCGTTCAGTCTTTATGAATCTTCTCTGTATTTACACATAACACTTTAGGCAACCAATGAGCTTTAGATATTTAATAGTGACTATAAAATTAAGGCAAGTTAGACCTGCCAGCCTATAGTGGTTTGCTAATTGCTTGCAATTTGTTTACTACTTTCGTATCAATGAATAATTACCTAAGTTTCTGATGTGGTGGCCAAGAGTACTTCTTGAGTACCTAGAATAAAACGTTATAACTTCTTTGTTAACAATATATAATATCTATGGAACGTAGGTAGGCTTGTAAACCCTTTTCAGTTTTGTTTGACTAACTTCATTAAAAATCTGGGTTAAATCAAAGTACTCATAATATAAAATCAATTATATCATCCTTAAACCCACCCCATCTCTTATAAAGTTAATTTGATTAAATGTTCTTATTGTATTTGCCCTACACATTTCCCAATTAAATCGTGTAAGGGTTGGTTTCGAATTTCATAGATTAATGTATTAAATATGAATTTCTAAAGAATCCGTGTTACTGTTATTTTATATTGCCATGCAAAATTTTCACGTTATCTCCTTCACCTTACATTAAAATGATGTTATTTGGCAATAAACTTCAGCGAAACCTATTTTATTTATAAAAAACACAGCCTTTAATTAATATAATCCCCGCTAAAGCGAAAATAGAAGCCATAATTTCATCTTAGAAAGTTAAAAAAGGTTCGTTTTATTAGCTTTTAAGTATTGTTTAAGTGTTGAGAGTGAGGGAGGAACCCTCCGAATACCCTCGGAGTACCCAACGACTTTTAGCGGCTCATTATAGACTTTTTTCTCATTTTGTTTAGAAGTATGTAAGTTAGTAGGAAGGTACCTCAAGATCGAACCATTTGGAAAGTCGAATTCTTTTAATTTAGTTCCGATTAAGCACTTAAGAAAAGGGTAGACTATCAATAGCTGCTTCCTCTGATTAAGTATTAATTGTGAGCAAATGGAAAAAGGTTTGGGTCAACTTGAATTTTAATGAAATGATCGTGATAATATAATTTACTTGGTTTAAGTTTAAAAATACTCAGGTAGCCTTTTATCGTCTTGTGAATCTTTTTTCATGTATCCTTGCTAACGGGTTTCCGCAACGGAGGATTCTTGATTTAATAAAATAAATGTGTAATAAAATGTTTAGTTTTTGGAAAACGACATAACTGGTTCTACATTAGTAATTATATTATTCTATTGCAGGTCATATCAATGTTATATATATAAATATAAACAATATCTAATATGGATTAGGATGAATACGTAAAATGAAAATTACACCATTGAAATAAAGATTTAATTACAATCGTTACATAATTTTACTCATAATAATAATAATTAATAGGTATATATTCTATAAATATCTATATAGAACATTTAATATTAAGCGAATGTATTCGATTTGGTCACATTGAAATTTTCTTCATCTATTAAAGTTCTTAATACAGATGATTTATTTTTAATTAACAAGCCTCAAAACTATTGCCATAAATTTTAATAAGTGACCTGAGAAAATGTATCGTTTGATAATGTGGGAAATTAAGAATAATTTCTATTTAAAATGCTTAATCAATTATCTTATATTACTGATCGATGTATGTATGCCTTCGTTACAAAATTTTTAGAAACGTGTCTTAGATATTCACAGCTCCAATCATTTAATGCTAGATGCAGACACAACCGGCAGGTGACATCATAGCTGATACACTATGTCTGCATGTAGCACTAATAATAAAACAAAATATACATTAAACATCAAATCAAAATGACCCAATAACTAAAGGCCACATTTTTAGATAAAAACATAATTATCGACCTCGAATTTTCTAAATATATCGAACGGCAGCTGTATTAATTATACCAGATTCAGTAACATTATTCGTTTAGTTATTTTATATACCCACATGACTATAATTTGACTTCAATGGTGTTTTCCAAAGAATGTCACGAAAACGTTACTTTAGGAAAGTGACTGCGACCGTTTCAAAAATAAAAAATATTCAGAATATTTTTATGTACATTGTATACTAATAATACTTTTAAACAATATTTATAAGTTTTATCATCGAAATATTCGTCGACAACATCGAACGTGGTGAAATCATACTATGTAATTACTTTGTACACATCTCGACAAACTAAAATAGAAAATCTACAAAACATTTTATATGTACAAGGACAACAACAATAACCAAATCGACGATTGTTTATCGACTATTTATCTAGTTATTAACAAAATTAAACAATAGTTTGTGTAGTTGGGTATGATACCAAACCTAACCACCTCTCATTGTCTACTCTCTCAATGTACAATTACTCTTAAATCTAATCAAAGTTAAGTCTGGCACCTGTACTAACGAATAACTTATTGCTCCACAAGTAAATTTAAACCATAAACATACGTTTGGAAGAACTAAGCAAAACATAATTATAAGATCCCTTATTTTATGTAGAACATTCCAGTCATGGAAATGATAATAAATTTACAATAATTCACTAAAACCAATATAGGCTAGTTTTAATTTCATTACACAAAATTGCGCTTTCCATGTATCTATAAATAATTTGGATATTATTTCCATAATATTCTTAAGTCTATAAAAATACTGAGCAACGTCGATTTCATACAATGATTCATTCGATAAGTACTTAGTGACAAGTGACAACCATAGACATATAACCACATCAAACAAAATTAAGTACTTAACGGAACACATTAGACTTTGTTATGTTCTGTGCAAATAGTTCAGGAATTTTAAATTACACTATGTGATATACAAATAAATGTATTTACCAAATTATATAAATTTTACAAAGGGGTCTTTAGACTTAGTTGTCTAACCAGTCCGAGGCCATTTAACTATAGTCGTATCGTTGATCTTAACGTAGAACTGAAACACTGTGCCACTGTGATAATCTGAGAGTCCCTAGTAGTTGACGGGTAGTGCAGCGACCCAGGTTTCACGTGCTTTACCTGCAACAAGCGATAACAAGATTATACACTGGTCCAATATCTTACATTGAATTAAATTCATTCAAAAGGGTCTCTCATTCTTAACGGCTGCATCATTTCGATGTATTTTAAAACAATAAAACATCCCATATCCTTTAAAAAGAATCTATAGCGGTATTTAAATTAACAAAAAAGAAGGTCCATTCCGATAGCTGTTCCGATTCTATCGCAGCGTCGACGGTGCGAGCCCGCCGCCGCGTTCACACATATAAACCGAAAAAGAAAAAATCTAAACCAATCGAGATGAGGTGACGAAACGTTCAGTCTCATTATCTGAGAATTTATTAACGAATCGCTTGGACCGGAAAACCAAAATGTGAAAGAAATAAAAACTCGACCTCGGCCGCGGTCATCTAAAGTTTGTACGGCGTCAATGAAAAAAGAAGTCAAACAGGTTGTCCGGACGACCTACGACTGAATGAAACGGAGAAGGACCCAAGTCAGGATCGAGAGATAAGAGGGAAGATTAGGGCGTCAAAAAAAAGTAAAGCAGCTTTTAATGCGGAGGTAGTGTTGTGAATGAAGAGGATCCATTGAGATTCCGCGCCCACGCACGCTCGCGGTACGCGCGTTATCGGCGCGCGCTGGACCGCCCGGCTGCCGTGCGTCCGCGCAGTCACCACCATGCTTCCTCCACAACGAACAATAGGCGCACATTGTACAACCATACATTCAGTTTTATGTTTCCTCAATGACAGTGCCGAGTTATTTAAATTTGTGTTACTGAATGTATTTAACTAAGAGACATTACTATCGTGTGTAAAGTACACTTAAACGTTGGAATCAGATTAACGTTCAATTAATAATATCACATGGAAAAATAATAAGTTAAAACATTGTAGGAATGTTATTTAAGGCAAAAATAAAAACTGGCAATATAAATCCGTTCTTTTTGGGCTACTTTAAAGGAATGCCGCGATAAGGAGTTATTTTCGCGTCAAAGAATTCGAGAGACAAAAAGGCGTGAAAACCAAAATAATACAAAAGGTTTATAGAAGTGAATTTGTGAGCGTTTGGCTAAAACAAAATTCTTGGCGGTGCCGTCCTGTGCGGCGATGGCGGTGAAGCGATTTATTGTAATGAGACGCGGATGCCGCTACTTCTTCTTAGAAAATCTTTGACGACTCTAAGAAATATGTGAGACGGGAAACTGCTACGACTACCTTCACACTCTCCACCTTCAGTTGACTTGATGTTGAAAGCCAAATGTTTATTTTTATTTAACAAATTCGAATTACTTTTGTGATCCAACAAAGTCCTCTAACTTGGTAGTTATTGAAGGATTCGCATCCATGACAACAAGTTTACATACTTGTAGAAAGCTAATTTAGGCAGGTCAGCGATACGAGTGTAGGCGCAAGGAACGCGTCGCTCTGACAATGACAAATGACACAAGATTGCAATCTCGCCGCCCTCGAGTCGCGCGTCGCCCTTCCGCCTCGACTCAACTCCATTGTTTTCAATTACTGACATGACACCCCGGCGCGAGCTCCGCTACTAAACCGCAACTCAGTTTATGGCCCTCCGATATCTCCACCACGATCGTCCATTACGTGCGCTACTCTCATTTACATGCGCGCGTTGCGATTGTGCTCAAGCTCGTCAATCTGAATCAATCTGTAACTCACCGCTATTGGCGCGCGGTCCGCTTTCAGACGGCCGGCACGAAACCGTTGGGGTGGTGGAGCGAGCTGGAATTGGAAATATTCACTCTTTTCACGTGACGTTAGCAATATCTCTCATGACCTATTTAACCGTTTGGGATGATTCCTATAACCATGCAGTGCAAAAATAATTAATATAATCATTATTATTATATACCTTTTATAGAAAGGCTTGAATGCCGCTGATCCTTCGTTGTGATGCGGTTGATTAGGCTGGTGACTGTTAGCAGCGTGATGAGGGTTGTGGTAGGGATCACGTTGAGGTGACTGCTGATGCCGAGGGAAGCAGTAGCCGGAGCCACCGCCGCTGCCAAGTGGATTGGCGACGCTGGGAACCTTCATGTTAGGGGGTGTTTGAGGTGGTGTATCGGTTTGAACGTCGGGGAATGATGCCGGATGCACGCAGGGGTGCTGCCCACCATATTGCCCACCAGCAAATCCACCATACCTCCCATAAGAACCACTAGCCGGACTTGCAGCGGCTGTCGCTGGCAAAGCAAAGCCATTGGATCCGCCATCAGACGGCGCTGCACGCTCAGGTGGCCCATAAGCATGTTGCGGCCACGGTTGTGCCGCAGGTGGTGGTGTTTTGCATGCTGCTGTATCAGCTAGAGACCATATCTTCGGTTTAGAGGCAGGAATCGGCACTCCACAGTCGGATGTGCCTCGCTTTGACTCTTCCTTTATACCATAGCCCAACATTTGATGGTGCATGCCCTGCAGCATCTCGTCTCCTTTTCGCTCCTCATCTGTAAAGATAATCATATTCATCGATCATATTTACGTCCGTTCAGCAATAAACGCATGAGCGCACGTTATTGCAAACAGATTAGTCGCAATAGCCGACGCCATAAATGACGCGACAACAATAAAGAGGGCTTTAAATGTTCCAAAAATCGATACGCTCCGTATTGAATCGTTGACGTGACCGTTACAAGCCGTACGTAAGTTTTAGCTAGTAAGACGTCGGATTTTGCAGCCCCTCTAGAAAAGTCGTGTGAAAATACGTTAGGCGTGCAGTGACCCATTCGTTAAGTGGTTATCCGATTAGCGAAGTGAAAATACCACTTTAGGGCGCGATTCCCCCGCCGCGGGCGCTGCTACCGATCCCTTTCGTATTAAGCCGAGCATTTATTTCGCATTTCCCGGCGCGCCCCGCGGCACCGCACTCTCCACCGCGGAATGTGCGAGCGATACAATTAACGGTCAACCACGGTTTCCAGTTTTCATAACCTTTCTTGTTTTTTTTTTATTTCTTGCTGCATTCATTTACTGCTCCCATGTTCTATAGTCTACTTGGTGAGTAGAGAAAATAAGAATACTTAAAGTATTGTAGATCTCTTCAAAATGATCTAATTTCTTATTAAATTTTATTCTAGAAGATAACGACGATAAAAGTGCAATGAAATAAAAATTTAAGTATTTTTCACTTGAAAAAATTTGATGTTATTGTACAATTACACAAAAATGTTTATTCAGCGAATTTTATAAGGCTCTAAGTATTATCATAATGCCATTTTCCGTTGTAAAGTGGCTTTCGGTGGGTGCGGAGGCGGGCCCGGGGTCGCTAATGAAATTCAGAGGCCCCGCGAAAGCGGTGAGGACGTTTACGGGGCAGAGGCGCGGTGCGGGGCGTCGCGACCGCTCGACTTCATTCTCTTTATTCCATTTAATGCTGACTGCTCCTAGCTTTTAAGAGGGGTTATCCGCGTTGCCCTTCACTAGGGATAAATAGGGACGCCACTGATACTCTGCGCGAAGATATTTATCCGGCAAATTGTTTTAATTTTCATTGTATTAATCTAATAAAGGCCCACCAACGGGGCGAGATAAGCGTACCGTGGACGATTTAGTGATGTTTTATTTTATAAATGTGTTTAGGTGTCCGTCAGATTAAATTATTTACTAATTACCGTGAAATGACCTGGATACAATTGAGTAATAATAAGTTTTACGTAAATTGTTACCTGTTTAGTCGTAAAACAGTTGTAGCTTATAGTAAGTTATATTAGCGCTTGCAATTTGCACAAAGTTTAATAAAACTATGAAAATTGACAAACAGGTGGAAGTTGTTAATAAATAATAGCACGTATCAGTAACAGACCAGCGCTTTTAACTTCGAAATATACTTAATTGAATATACGTTAGTTGTTTTAATTAAATGACTAAACCATAAACAAGGAATAATTTAATTAATGTAGGTAGGTACCGAAGGAAATCCGCTGCTTATGTTTATTGCAAGAGGCTTGTTTGTTTGTAAGGGTAAACACTTGAGTAGTGCTGCGGTGTATTTAGGTCGTAAAACTGTGTCTTACCACTGTTCTTCTGCTTAATATTATCAGTGTTTTCCTTGTATAGAATTTGTTTTATCAACCGGTGTAATAAAGCGGTTCTCTTAAAAATGACAATTAAGTTCTACAGTCGTTCAATGCTTGAAGTATTGTAGGTTTATATTTGTTATTTTTTTTTTATGTATTTCATCAATTTTGATGTCGACGCTTGTAATACCTATGTATTTGTTTTCAGGCTTGTTACTTGAGGAATCAAGTAATGTTGACACAACTGCATGTAACGTACTAACTAGTATTCCTAATCAGTGTACTCTTTTAATACGTTTAAATACGAATTATTAAAAGATAAATATAAAACTAGTATCAGACATGCTGGGTGTATTAAAGCCCCATCCCCAACTATTCAAGTAAGTTATGCATTTCACTTAAGCGCCTAATATGAGATCAAAGAATTTACCCACAATTTTATTTAGACATGAAGATGATACAAAAAGACTCGTTGGAAGCTTTTGTGTTGGAGTTGCAAGACCGAATTTTTATCCTTGCAGTTAAGACTAAAATAATAATTAAATCAAACTTACCTAAAGGTCCTAACCTAAGGAACCTTTTTAATGCCATCAGATTTCTAATGTTAATAGAATCATTAAAGTTCTCAGTTTTTTATAAACTCCATACAAAAAAGTTGTGCATTAAACTGGTGACAAATTGTTGCTGTCTAAGAAGTGTATGAACTAAGACCGTATCAAGCATGGTTTTTATGTTAGTGACATGGATGATGCATTATAAAAGTATGCAGTGTATCATATGAAGTGTGTAAGAGTGGTTGGCGCTAAGTGGTTGCACCCCCGCGCTGCAGCCCTGCACTTAACAGCTGAGGTCAATGCAATTTATTGCCCACCCTGAAACAGAGCGGGGCGCGTGGCGAACCCGACCGACGTTCACTTGTTTGTGTTACTTCTACTCGTTTTCCATTAACGCGCGTCGGATTAATATTTTGTTTGCAATGCGTGCGCTCACGACAAAAATTAACATTTATTGGTAGGGTCCGAAAATGAAGCTTTTATTCATGAGTGGCTTAGCTCCGGATAGTTCTGTGTGTTTGTTTGCCGACGACGGTCTAGGGATCGCGTGTGAAAGCTTTTATATTGGCTTTGTTTGCCGTGACTTAAAATGATATATTACACGTCGCTAACATTGACGTTTTTGTAAAAGAATGGTTATGCACGTTAGTTACAAATGTTATGGTTTATTTGCGATCTGGCTCTGGGATTAGTTTAATCGGAAAGCGGTTTTGTCCAATTTAATCTGGTGATGCCCAGTTTTTGATAACCGACTCATTTCATTCTCACGAATTTCTTTCGTAGTCACGAGAGATTTGCCTACTTAAATATTTATGATAATGACTTTTTGAATGCAGCATCGGTCACGCGATGAATTTCGCTATTAAATCTTATGGGAAGATTTTGATAGAAATGAGAATATCTCTGAAAAAACATGGGAATTTGTAAATCGTTAAAATTATATGTAAATTAATTTTAATTGGCAAAATGTTTAACCTATCTACCATCTTGCAATGTTGGTGTTTCGGAATATGAAGTATGAATAATAATTACGATATCGATTTAGTGAGTTTCAGTTGAAAGAGAAATATTAAGTAAACAAGATCGCGACACCCCAACGCTTGATATTGCACAGCAGTCGCCGGGGGCGCGTGTCTATAATCCTGCAGACAATGCTAGCCGTCTTGAGTCTCTTTTTTCACACTTCCATGCAACAAGGATGGTTAGATTAAATCTCCAGGCAGATGCGACAAGACGATATCGAAATAGAGCACTTTTTCTGGCAATAGTTTTTTTAAGTCATAGTTACAGTTAATTCAGTAATCTTTACTTACCTATCGTTAACATGCAGGTATCTACTCCCACGTAATCTAGTGTGGGGACTTCTTATCGTGTAAAATGTCACTTTATTAAACGAATACCTGAGTATTAATTAGTAATCGGCATGTACTAATTAGTAGATTGTTGATAAAAGATGTAAGTAATTGGATATAGTTTAGGTACGTAAGTTAACTTTCATATTATAAATTGCTACCATTCACCCAAATAAATAAATAAAATATAATGTAAAATAAATAAATTAATAGTTAAAATTATTATAATATTATTATATGACATATTAAGTATATGTTGTCGATAAATTAGACATTAGTTCCAGTTTCAGTTTCACTTACGTCGTTATGGCACACATCTTTACTTTTATGAATCGTGTGAGATGGCTGTGAGAGGGCCATTCACGCGGCGTTATACACAGCGAATTAAGTACACTTCTGTCGCAACAATAGTGGGCTTCATTACACGAGCGTATGCCGGGCGTTATGCGTGACGCCCTCGCGCCTCCATTAGCGACGTGAACTTCGCTATGAAAACACTCTGTTAGAAACCATCTTTATTGTAACAATGCCTACTTATAATTTATGTTGTTGACAAGAGGGCCTAACTGCCGCCCCAGCAGTTCTCACGTAGCATGTCGAATACGTATCTGGATTTTATTATTGCATTTACCCTTTTAAAGAAATATCATTCTCAAGTACTTGCAATATTTTAGGGTCGATCTGGCCAGATCTTTTTAAGTTTATGATTATGGAAATTAAAGTTTATAAATCCATAATGTGGTAAAGTGTCAAATTACATATCAATAAATAAAAAGAAATAAACTATACACTACCAAAACATTGTTACATGGATCCGATCAGTAGATAGATGTATAGGTACATTATAAATCCCCAAAACCTTACTTACTTACTTACGTTCCAGCGGAATATCCTCATAAAAGAAACGATCCACGAACTCGACAAATCCTTTGGCAAGAACATGAAGTAGGGCAGATCGTCAGACAAGCTGAACGCGACCTCCGAGCGTCGCGTCGGCCCGTTGTAGCGACGAACGGAAGACGCGTTATATGAATTTTGGGCCCTGGCGCCGCCCACTTTACTACGAATAGGAAATCCGGTAGCGAGGAGCGGTTACGCACAGTTACACGCCTGAGACCTCCCCCCGACCACCGCACGCCCCTCCGACCCTCGCCTCCTCACAGACCCGCACACCCTCCGGCCCGCAGCCACGTTATGCCAATTCACTTGACGATTTATACACCGACAAAATTAAAGCAATTTTAAACGGTTAACAACACTGACTCAATCCGAACATGAAATAACACGTACTAGGTACCACAGGTCAGGGGTAATTAGTGCAATAGGTATATTAGCAAATCAAACAATCGCAGTCGCGCTTATCGAGAACAAACACAACATAATACATCAACAATACAATAGTTCGCAGAGCAATCGGAAATGGAAAACTTGTATTGCAAATAGAGAGATTGTGAAAGCTTTAAATTTGAGTCAACATCAGATAGTCAACGTTTGTTTTGCTTTTTTCATACGGAAAGTACATATTTTTGAGTAAATAAGGTTGACTATCTGATGTTGTAAAAATAGGGAACTTAACGAACCTTTGTGAGTTTTTATTTTCTCCTCTTGTTCATCTTTGTCTTTCTCTTCGTCAGAGAGCATTGTGTCGTCATCGTCGTCCGTTTTATTCTTGGGCTCCCACGTCATCTTGTTTTCCTTCTTGAGGCGGCGACGCGCATTCGCGAACCACGTCGACACCTGCGTCAGCGTCATCTTGGTGATGATCGCCAACATTATCTTCTCGCCCTTCGTTGGGTATGGGTTCTTCTTGTGCTCGTTCAGCCACGCTTTGAGTGTCGCCGTTGACTCTCGTGTCGCGTTTTTGCGTCTCGCAGCTAAATCGTACCCGGCTCCATATCTGTCGACAAACATGTTTATACTTACATATGCCTAGTGGTAACTTACGCTTCCGGCCTAGCAGAGCTGAAAATTTTCGCAAACCTAAATAAAATACATTATTCAATGGATTCGGACAACGTTTTGTGTGTGAAATAATTGAATTGAACTTTATGTGGATCAGTATGTTTACTCAAAATCAAAGGAAAGGCTTTTGGTACCTGACTTCAACAGTAATTAATTTGAAATGATCGATTTATCTATTAAAATGATAATAATTATGTATCAATAACGGCCTTATTAATATTAACATTTCTATAGTAAATACAAACCAATAAATCCGTAATATAACGAGGATTTTCAGTACAACATATTTCAGTTAGTTACAGCGACCATGCGTCGAATCGTTTACAGCGAGCAATAAAGTGGCTTTTAAATTCGTAGCAGATAGGCGTTTTATTTGAGGCAATAGATTTCTCGTAACGGCAGCAAAAATAAAGCTATCGCGGCACAGAGCGACATTCGGTACACTTTTTAGGGCCTACGGTCCCATTTGCATCCGCATTCTGAGCGTAATTATGGGTTCCCCCCGGCGCTGCCAGTATCGTACCTGACTTCGATTTTCCTGCCGACATGACAAAGGCGCGGTCTAAGGGGATCAATAAATAGGTTTCGCGCGTGAAAGTAGTTAAAAAATGGTCCTGACTCGTTTGACATTCACGCAAATTGTGATGTTGAGCGTCTCGCGTAGGGTTTAGATTAAAAGACGCTGTCGACATTTTCTCTTACGTGTAGTAAGCGTGACACGAGTAAGATTTGCAAATTTGACATTTTGTTACTAGTATCAATTGCTCGATTTGATCTAGTTTGGTGGATTTGATTCTTGGTTAGTAATAAAGCAAACTGAAAGAATCAAATACATACATTCATAATCGTTAATAATTAAAATAGATTCACCGGTTATATTTTCTTGTGCAAGTAAGTGTCTTAAATGCAATAGAGGGCGGACCGTTGCACCGTGGTTGCAATTGCAGGGCGGTGCAGCGCAGGCGTGGGTAGCGTGGGCGTACTCACCACCAATCGATCGCGACGCCATCTTGCTCACCGGACATCACCGGTATTGCTAGTCGCCGAACGACCGCCGGCCGGCGACACGGGCCTCACGCGCCGATCGGGCAGCTGGTTTTATTGTAAAAATACCAACCGACCCACTTTGAAATTTTTAATTCATTTAATTTTTTGAGAAAGTCATCCTGCCGTATCACATCAACACGTCATATCGGTACGTAAACGTAATATGTGTTCCCTTAAGAAACATGCGTTGTGCCATATTAATACGCATGTCAAACGAGCATACATTCAAAGCCTTTGAAACCAAACCACATTAGTTTGAACATGAATAAGCTCTTCAGAAATCTACAGTGGTTAGTGACGACAGCGTCGGTTAGGAAAAACAGCGCTTTATTGCTTCACGTTTTATCGATTCGGTCTCGCCCGCTTTGTTTTACAGCCCTGAAGCTGCTGCGAGGGTTGAATCTCTTAAGCTTTGTTAATTAATTTAGACAGTCCACTTACTCGGCGCGCCCGCCCTGTGAGAACACATGCACTCGGCTCTGAGAATGTTAATACTTTCATGGGCGGAAATACTTTGTATCTTTGTTAATTTGGGGACACAACCATAAAACCTATGGTGAGCTATGAATAATGTACTATATTTATGCACAAAACAAATGTCTGGATTAATTTTGTGTGACGTTTCCTGCATTGGTTTTTAGATTAGAGAAGATTAACAGCAATAGAAAACAATAAATCACTTAAATTGTTAATTCTGTGCTTTGTTGTTAATTTTTTTAGCAACGAATGTTGACATATGATCGTCGTGTATTTACGTTCGTACGTCGTGTATGTACATTTATTTACACATGAAATTAAAATTTGTAAGTTTCACAAAAAAAACCGTGGCTTACATACATTACATTAACGACCGACTATTGTGTTACAATTTTATTAATAAACAAATATTTGATGTAAGAAAAAAACGTGAACACTTATGCATAACAACTGGCAGTAGATTGTAATTTTTGAACTGAAGCCGTTTTGAAATACGTGTAGTCTGTTAGGTCACACGAGTCCCCGCAATGGCCGGCGCAGTGTTGGGCGGGCGCTTACTACCGTTGCTACATATTTGCGCTTGCCGAGTATTCAATTCGCGGTATCGAAGGTTTACGATCTACCCGCTTGGGGGAATTGCGGCCTCTACGTGCCCTCCCCCGTAAACCGTACAGCTATATACGAAAACGAATGTACATAAGTAATACCCCCTAAGGAGGGGGTGGTTTGGCTCATGTTAGAATTAGGATTCGCAACTCAAGTACGAGTCGAGTAGGCCTTTTAAGAAGTATTCACTTTGTTACCGTCTTGTGTACAGCTGCCAGACTAATATTTTCAGTACGTAGGAGAATTTGGAATAAATCTTAATGATACACTGAGAAGAAGATAAGACGTTTTTCTTTTATTACTTACATGAACAGTTTGACTGATTTTTTCTCAAATCGTATTTTACTATGTTATTACAGTTTTTTGCTAAAAGTTTTACCCAACCGCGCCGCCTAATACGATTTACCATCACGTTTGTTTTACCTAAAGTATTAAACAGAAGTACTTTTAAACTTTGAAACGAAATAAATTTTCTTAAACACTTGTGTCTTGTACCTTCCGACCGCAAACTCAAACTTCGAGCCACTACTGACAGTATTAAGGCATGTGACCTTTGACCATTAAATAAACAATAGACTTTATTTATGACATAAAATGCTTTGAAATTATTATACTAATAACTCTGTTATAAACCAAGTCATCTTTACTTGTATTTTAAAGGAGAAAATCCTAATGTGGGGCAAAGTTAAAAAACATACATTATCTTCAATCTTTGTGTTAACAATTTCCTTATAATTGTACCTACTCGATACCGATGTGATTTTAATGAAATTGTTTAGTACTTATTCGTATTAGGTGCTAAATATGAGATTACGCAATTAATAATACAATGTAGATCATGTAGATATGACGATGTAATTTGGAATTGATCGATCATATCGCACAACAGTCACAAAAGTTGATGGCACAAATGTACTTTATACTAGCTTTAATTTCTATTATCAAAGGCTTTATAATAAAAATCATTATGAAAAATACCATACACAGTTAGGTATTTAAACTGAAATTAAAATATAGTGCATGTATTTATAAGGATTTTTCGAGATATTTTTTACATTAGATGTATAAAACTTAGTTGTTGTTTTCAGCTAACATATGTATGTATAACGACGGATTGATTCGAATATTTGTTAGTTTTAAAATTACTTCGTATATTTTTTTAAGGGGGGAAAATCATCGATTTTCTTTTCCCGCCTAGATAAGGCGAGAGGAAGTTATGCACTTCGAGCCGGAGGCCCGGCAACCCGTTAAGCCCTCCGCGGCTCCGTAAGGGCATCAGCCCTATTGGGACCCATCCGTGGTGGTCTAAAGGCGCTTTGAGGCGCACTTCTTTGTTTAAACATTGTTCATTTAATGCAATCTTGTCTTTTTAGTAAGGTGGAAAAAACATCTTTATATTTCTGCAAATTAATGAAACTCTTTAGGATAACGAAGATTTTGAGAGTGGATGTTCGAGTGTCAATCATATTGTAATTAGTTAATAAAGCTGGCTTCCTCCTGTCGAGGCTCGCACCTACACAATTATCTGATACATTTATTATTAACTTACACCTGATTGGAACGCGCCGTATGACGTATTAATTATGATCAATACACGCACCGGTAATTGTCTTCCGATAACTTACGGTTTTTGTAGGTTTTGACAGCGACAAAATAATTAATAATTCTAGCTTTACAACGACCGGCATAATGAGAAATTCTTATAAATTGCAGCTGCAGATATTACAAGACAATTATTTTTTTTTATCATATTTTCTGGCGAGGTTGTGGCGGAGAAATAAAATTATAAGTAACTTTTTAATAATTAGTTGGTAGCCTGCAATGTTATCGTTTGTAAAATATGATATCTGCCTGTTGAAACATTAATTTGCACACCTTTTAGACGACATGATGGATTGCAGTGATAGTGTGAGTTATCACGGTAAAGTCCCTAAACAAAATGTGTGTTAAATGCTCATAAATGTCGCTCGAGCTGCGTGTCTCGTTAACAAGCGCCCTTACTTGGGTTATTTAAAAAGTAACAACCCAAATCGTTGGCACACAAATAATTCCCTCAGAGCTCCGTGCTCGGGGCGCGGTAATTTCCTGCGCATTTTGATCTCAATGGTGCGGTACAAGTGCTCCCTCGTCTCTTTTCTCTAATTTTTGTACGTTTTCTGTGCTCGAGACTTTTGTTAAAAATAGCTGAGTAATTTTTCATTTCGGCGCGCGGCGGGCGTGGCAGATTACAGGCTGTTCCAAATAATACGCCAACGGTACTTAACTCAAGAGCGCCTACATCGCGGCCAAGTTTTGTTGCTTGTGTACGCTTTTCACCGTAGTTGTTTCTTTGTGAGGCTATTTATTCGGTCCGGCTAACTTATTGCGACCCCCGGAACGTTTTATGAGCCTCTTATGAAGTTTTTCTTTTGAAATAAATACACAACAATTGTGTTGGCAACTTTGTCTGTAATTACACTTCCGAATAGAGCATGCCACACATTGTTCTAAAAAATATAATGTATAACTTTTGGGAAGTCATATTGAAATCCTAGACTATGGATCACAATGATTACGGAAACAAAATGATCATCCTATGCGTGCGTTGAAGTAGCGAACAATTGTGTTGTGACATCAGGGGCGCTATATATCACGGTGTATTTCCGTACTCGTCCCGCCACGATACCGTAACGTCGCGTCTTTTTTACGCATAAAAACTAATGTCGCCTCTAATTATTTTTAGATTATAACGCACCGCCTGCTATATATTAAGTCGAGCGCAGCCGAATTGTCAGCATAACTCCGCTTTGATGTATCATGATTTGTTTTTATTTTCAGGCAGTTTCAATGTGATTCATGGACGGATAAATTTCAAGTGCGCCGTGAAACGTATATTTAATTGATGCCTCCGTATAATACATTGTTATGACACTGTTATGACGACCGCTGCTGATATATAAAGACGAGTTTGTGTAGACGATTCGATATAAATAAAATTGAATAAGAGGCCACCCTTGTTCGTCGACAAGTCTGACGGGTTGATAAGTTTGCCGAAAACGTCAACGAAACGCGTCGTGCGATCACGTTTCAAAGAAAAACTGTGAATTAATCAAGCACTAGTGCGAATGGATGTGGCGTCATCCGTCTCTGTCAGAGGTGCTGGTGTGTACGTGTCGAAACGGGACGGCGAACAACCGGGAGTGGTTACTCGGTCATTTGTCCCTTGCGGCCGACACGCACTGCGTAGTGCATAACTGCGTGTGCGTTTTCTTTTATAGGTGCACTTTTAATGTTTTACAAAGAAATTAGTCTATAAATCATTATATTTAAATCAATTTTTCCAGAGTAGAATACCTTTGTTAAACAATATTCGTAATTTGTTAAGAACCTACCTGTCTAATTTTAATTTATATGTGTACATTTTAAAAGGGCGGAGAGAGAGGACACTAATACAATGTTCTTTACAATGTACACGTACCTAATTATTGTTTACGTTCTTAGGTACACTCATTTTACAAGCAACATATGTATTTAACAATTTAATGGATATGTTTACTGTATGAGCTAAAGGAACCTGTTTTCTAATTGTATGAAATGTTACCATGCATCGGTGCCACATTATCTATATTTAACCAATCTTTGTAAATTCTTGTGACGGGCTATAGTTACTGGCTTTTAACGAGCACGTATAAAATGTCAACAAGTTAATAATGACACGTGATTTGACAATGTGAAATGTGTAATATGAAACCACCGGTTGTATTCACAAATCGGTCTGATAATTACCTAACACAATGACAGATCGTAATGACAAGTATTTTATGACGATTGTACGAGCAAATATTATTGGGGACAAACTAATCGAACTGCCCATAAACACGTCAACTAAACGAGAAAGCAAACGTGGGGTGTGTACAGACAATGTTTTAATTTTGCTACAAGTATGTTAATGTATTCAGTGGGGGCATTGTTTAAAACGATCACTCAGTAAAACGCGTCCGAATCCAATAACACTAAAACATGTTAGGGGTACATATGCACAGTATAACAGAATTTATTAAAGTCAAAACGAGTCGCCAAATACAAACATGAGCCTTTCGCATTGCAATCTATTAGAGAGATAAGTCTCGATAGGGAGGTATTATGTTAATCCGGGTGCGGCGCGGCGTGGGCTTTATCTAAAGTGGCGCGGGCGCTGTGGACCTCTGGGGTCTCTTGGACCCTGGGGACTTACCCGTAGGCAGCGAGCGTGGGGTCGTAGGGGTAGTAGCCGCCTGAGGGTTGAAGGCCAGCCGACGTCCAAGCAGACATCTCGCCGCCGCCCTCCTTGAGCGCGTAAGGGTTACTCTGAAATACCGCACGACACAATAAATAAACTTGCCTCTGGCCAAATGGACTCGCTGTGGAAATGTTACTACGTATATAGATACAGTTTATTTCAGTCGACACAATCCTGCGAATGTCTACATTTTTATGTAGGTATGTAGGTACCTGCCTATGTCGGTCTGCAATATATAATTTACCAAAATAGAATATTGTTTGAATATTTTATTTCTATAAAACAATATATTTAACAATAAACATTTAAATACTATTGTTAGACACAATGTCATAATTATAGAATATATTATTTTGGATTGAATATCTGTTTTAAAGAAATTCTATTTATTGCCTAGAAAAAATCTCACAGTTCGTTGCAACCGCATAATGTACACATTACATAAAATTGTTACTATTCTTCTCAGCACCAATTACAGCAATTAGAAAAATACACCATTCGACATTAGTGGTGTATGTTACGAGCACTCTTCATATCCAATTATTTCAAATCCGTTAGCCATTAATACACTAGCACTCCGCATCGCTAAGCCCACATGTAAGCGGATAAATCTCGACGCTTAATACCTTTCAGTCAATCGGCCTTACAAATACGTCGGCTTGAATTTAATTAAAGTTAACTTAATAAAAGGGAATAAACTCACGAACAACAATAAAAGTCCCAAGTGTACTGGCTGACATATCACTGGCGTATTTGCATAATGTATGGAAGCAGAGGGGAAAACTATTAAGGCCTAACGCACCCTACGCGTGATAGTTGTTTAACAGTGAGGTAGTGAGCGGGGATGCTACCCTCCTTACTCAGTTATTCGCATACATTAGGAGCAACTAAATTAAAAGTGTGAACGATTCGAACGCGCCTCGGGAGCAAGTCCCTTGTCTCTCCCTAGCTGCTCTGATAATAAAATGAAGAGCATTATGATACGTATGGCACTGGTTGTGACGCGATAACTGAATAAAAAGAGCAAGCTTATTCGTCCCCCTACTTTAAGTAAGAAAAGTGTGTGTCGTTGTTTTGCGTAATTTGTTTTCATTTTGTAACAACACAAAGACGTGTTGCTGTTTTATTCCATACTAAAATTAACTTGTTTATGCTAAATTTTATTATTTGATGGCAAAATGCGCTCATAGCATCATAATCTATTAAAATCGAATATTATTATTGTTTATATTATATTTTACAAATGGCTACATAGCAATACTTCAATTTGTATGTTGTAGCAGTTAAGTTCATTTCATTGTTAACCGCAAGGACTCTAGTGCGCCGAGTACAACACCAGGGAGGCAGTTCCGGAGTGTTCGTCACCGCGTCGTCGACGTGACAGGCGCCTGATGACAAATGGCACTTTATTTACTACCGTAGGGTGAGAACGCTTCTACATCTGTTTTACTTACAAACAAAGTAACGTGCAATGTTTACATTCTCTAAGCGATAATGTAGCTATGTATAGAAAATACATTTTTTGCAAAAGTTTTGTTTATGATACAAGAATCTGATTAATGTATCTTTTCGCTTGTACCTCACAAAGTTGCAGTTATTTTAATATTGTAATGTAAACAAGTGATTATTTAACAAAGCAAAAATCCACCAGCATGATCCACCCGACGAATGATTTTGATTCGTGTCTGAAAAACCGATAACTCACGGATCACAGGCGAATACCTCTACACGGTCGTGTTCGCGCGTATTCGACCAAATTTACTGAATATGGAGAGGAACCATAAGACAGACACACATGTAATTTGTACTGTACAATAATCGCGTACTACTGACACATTCCCAAATATAGTTTAAGATTTACATTAATTGACGTTGGCTCTTAGGGGTACGTTACAAATACCCGTAGACTAGAGACATTCTAGTAATATATGGCCCTATGTAGCCATTCGTAGACCGGCGTAGAGGTCGCAGAGCCATACGCAAAACCCACATAGCCAAGCGTAGAGGACGCGTAGCCAAGAGTAGAGGATGCGTATCCAAGCGTAGAGGTCGCGTAGCCGTAAGTAGCCTTGCGTAGAGACAACCCAGTAGTGTAGCCCTGCGTAGCCGTACGTAGCCCTGCGTAGCGGTCGCGTAGAAATACATAGACTGTGTACAGACCACGTAGCCGCGTGTAGACGTCGCGTAGCCATGCATAGACCAGTCGAGTATATATACTTAGAAGTTGAATAATTCAAATATTTAAAAGTGACGTACAATACACCTGCAACACCTTTATGAAGAAAACATAAAATAATATATGGCATCGACAAAATATTTTCTGTTCACAGATTTGGTCTAATAAATGGTTATATTTTTGGTAGATAAATAATGCGCAGTAAATTAATATGTTTGAGAGTTTACCTTTTAACATAATAGTATATTTTGTTTGTTAGCGCAATAAAATGCCACAGTTTGTATTCAAAACATATAAGGGCACGAGCACTTATTTATTTCTCATCATACATTACACATTCTTGCAATCTTCATATATTTTATTCTGAAGACGAAATTAAAAACTCAGCCGCACTAATACAAAAATAATGATTATGTTAAACCCGCAATAAAATTTAAAAACCCTGTAATAAAACTTAAAAATGTATAAAGTATACGTAGATAAGCAAAATGATATATGCGACTATTACATAGGCAATAAAAACTTACACAAGCAATTATATAGGGAGAGTGAGAGAAAAAAATGATAAAAACTACCTCGTACCATACCTTATTAGAATGGTAACGAGTATTTGTGAGATAATAGCATAATTATTGTTCAAGACTCGAGCTAAATAATTATACTAAGTAAACAGCTCGTTTGTTCATTGCTCAGACAAATTGTTCAGCTTAGTTACCTGTTTGCATTAGTAATTATTGTCATTGATGACGTCACTCGATTTATGTTCGACACGACAGTACTGACTTACAAATCCTTATTGCATGTTGGATGTCACGTTTCTCGTTAACGTCACACTCGGATCGTGTCGAGACAAAGAGATGTATTGAATTTGGCTGTTTGGAAATATGATATAGGTGTGCTTGTGTGCGAATATCATGTTCACACCATCTAAAAGTATAATCACTGGTCATTTTGCGAGAAGCAGTATTTTATCGCATAATTTTTTTCTCAATATTACTTTCTCACTATGGAAGATTGACGTTGAAGGTGAGGAATAATATTTTAATCAGTTAGGAAAAAATATTCTAACTACACAGGACTCGTAACCCGTAAATATTTATATTAACATACATTTAAAACATGCTCTACCACTTTGGGGAACAAAGGCGTACCTAACGGTGACATTCATGTCGTATTATGTATTAAAGAAAAAGTATTAAAGAACGTTTCATCATTGCAAAGTTATTTTTAAAGGTTTAATTTGAGGAAACAACTGGGTTTTCATACGTAAAATACACCTAACTTGTCGGTTGATTGATATAGTTGGAATAGTGCATCGAAATTGGTAATCCTCTGTGTAGCTCGGGAACAAATCGAGCGGAGACTCGATAGTCAAAATCGAGTAATTGCTGCGCTTGTAGGACAACACCAAATCCATGGAACAATGCCGGTGAGCGGATACTCGTATATTAGACACACGAATGGATTTGAACAGCTCAGTGTCACGCTATATTCACATGGAACAGCATGCATAGCTGCTTCTACACATGATTTGAACGAACATTTTAATTGAAATATTTTGATTTTTGTTCCGTATGATCAAGAGTAGTACTTATAAATTATTACCGTTAATCTGAATTTCATATTTTATGTCTTTAAATAGAATTTATTAATAAAACTGATTAAAACACTGGGCAATCTAGTATCAAAACATTAATTGAACGTAAAAAAACCACATAAATTAAACGAGAACATACTGGTTAGAAGGTACGTGGCAGGTTTTATTTATTGGCACTAAAATAACATATTAATGCCCCGGTCTCTATTACGTTCGGTCATGCCATCTCTTTCATGGATGTAAGAGGAGGGTACTTAAAATGGAAACAGGGAACTGCTCATAAGCAAGCGTTTTCAATACGCATCCGCAATTCAATTGTACTTTAGAAACTAAGTTTTTTTTCTGGTTTGCGGTCCACATGCGCTGTTTTTTATATCGCAATTTCCGCAACTTTATTTACAAGTACCTTGCCTGCCAGGGAAAAGCAAGCGTCATGATCATCGTTAAATATTTACTTATTAACTGTGTTAACTTTTGGATTGCGTATTTTAATTATGATTAACAAATTTGACAAGTTATTGAAGAATCTTGCACAATAAATGTGCATGAGACACATAAATATGTATAGATAGTCTACTAAACTTCCTAACGAGCATGTTCGTATATGTAAGGCTAATCAGGGGTCATTATAAGTTTTGGCTCAATACTAATTGAAAGAACAATAACATTAAAATAAACTTGTTTTTTCAGTCAAGGTCTTGTTTGTTCTAATTAATTGTATATCTATTTGATATATATTTTTAATTTGAACATTAATTATTGTATATTGCAATGAAAATTGTTGTCGGTACAAGATCAACACTGATACCTTAATTGAATTCGATAATTATAATTGGCAATACACGTTCAATCGTTTATCGATCTCCGATTGATAGTAGTGACAATGATGCCTCGATTTACCCTGTGAGTTTCCGAGAATTTTGATGTATACTGATAACATTAAAGTTTTTGATTTAGTATCTACGTGCAATGTAAGATAACCAAGCAGATCGTAATCTTCCAACATGACTATCGTAACAATAATTAAGTGTTTAAAAAAAACTCATTATGTTGTGAATTAGTGAAACAACGTGTTAACTACATACAAATTCTTAGAATTTTGTTTCGAAACAGTATAGTAATAAGATCATTAAGAAATACAAAAAAGCAATACAGAAAATCAAAGTAATAAAATGTTCTGTAAATATAACAAGATTAAGGAAGATGAATAATACCTAAGTATCTTCCAGAACATTTTTATAAGTATTTTATCAAAATTATAAAAAAACGAATCCCAGAAAAATGTCCAAACGTCG